CATGAAGATCATACACGCAAATGGAGCCCAACATTTCTAGATGGCTCTGAATGAGTGAAATCTCACTCCTCCCTCCCAAAGCATCTTATATGGTGATGATGCCGTGTAAACTCCTGACTCATTCCAAGCCCAGATGGGTCAGTCCTCCAACTGATCATCCAATTGGACCTCCGAAATGATCTCCCAAAGTCCGATGAACTGGGTCAAACCTTCCATGCATAAGTTACCCACTATGTCGTTCATCCAAGCATGCATGCCCAGAGCATCACATACCATACGCCTGTTGGCCACTTGCGTGCAAACCGTTGCCACTACCAAGGGGGCAATCTCTGAGATTGTTGCCCCTCCAACCACCCGTCTTTCCAAAACAAAGTTTTGCCTCCTGAGCCAACCTTCCATTTAACTAGACTCCCAAAGGCTTGGTCTACCTTTTTGTCCGCCGTCAACTTTTGCCCTTGCCAAGGCTTGGATGTATCCATCCGTCGAAGCCATTCCCATCTTAATCTTAGGGCCAAACCATGTTTATATAAGTCAATGACGCCTAATCCTCCCATGTGTTTTCACCTACACACCTTGGCCCAGGATACCACACATTTGCCACCACTCACTTCCTCCGTCCCGGCCCAAAAGAATGCCCGACAGCCTTTGTCCACTGCTTCAAGAGCCCATTTTGGCGCCTCTGCAATCATGAGATGATGAGTGGCCCGCGCCCTCATGACTTGGTTGACTAGGATAAGCCTCCCAGGTCTAGTCACCATCCCCTTTGCCATCCTGGCAATATGTGTAGGACCGCATCCACCACCGGCTGCCATTCAAATATTTTAAGTTGTTTTATACTAAGCCGAAGCCCAAGATATTTGCACGGGAAGGTGCCTATCTTCCATGGTAGAGCCGACTTCACGAGCTCCTCATCCTCAGTCTCTGCCCGGATCATAATTGCCGCTGATTTGGCAAAGTTCACTTTAATACCAGATGCAACTCCGAAAATGGTGAGAGTTTCCTTAACGAACATAAGATTTGGCCAAGTTGGCTTGATGAATAGCACCACATCATCCGCATACAATGGAAGGCGCTGCATCGGGCTACATCCATTGATGGTACTCAGAACACGATCCTCATGCGCCTTGACAACGATTGCCATAAGAACGTCCATGGCAATAACGAATAGCAAAGGGGAGATCGAGTCCCCTTGCCTCAGGCCTTTAGCATGCATGAACTTGTCTCCTGCACATCCATTCACAAGCACTCTTGAGCTGGCAGTGGTAAGAAGTGTTGTTATCCAAGATATCCAATGCTCCGAGAATCCTTTAGCTCTGAACACTTCGAGCAAGAACGTCCATGCGAGGGAGTCGAAGGCTTTAGTTATGTCTAAAGCAACACTCATTTCACTTTCCTTCTATGCAACGAGCGTGCCATTTGCCTGGCCAGGAGAAAGTTGTCATGCAAGCATCTCCCCTTAATGAAAGCGGACTGTTTCAGCTGAACAAGTTCTCCCATCCGTGGCCTGAGTCTAGCAGTCGGGAGTTTTGATGCAATCTTGGGCATGCTATGCATGAGGCAAATAGGTCGGAAGTCGAATACTGTGCAAGCTTCCGGAGACTTTGGCAATAGAGTGATCAATGTTTGGTTTAGTCTGCCGAATCCCCAACCATTTCCAAGAAAGAGCTTGTGAATCGCCGCTACCAGATCTACCTTGATCACCTCCCAAGCTTTCTGAAAAAACAGACCTATGAAGCCGTCCGGCCCTGGTGCCTTGTCCGAGGGTAGGTCCTTTATGGCAGCCCAAATCTCATCTTCCATTTGGCTAGAGATAAGCTCCCAAGATTGATAGTTTCCTTCTTTGCTTCGGCGCCTTTATTCCTTTGTCCACTCTTTTTTTAACATCAATACAGACACAAGCGCTCATATACACGCGCATACACTCACCCCTTTGAACGCACACACGCACACCCTACCCTTATGAGCACCTCCGAAAGACTGTGCCGGCATATCATCTTGAGATTTATGAAGTCGCCGTAGGTGTCTCATCGTTGACGGGAACGTCTACTCCCACTGAATGCGCATCGCCGGAAATTCTGAAATAAATCCAAGAATAGATGCGAACATCAGGATTTGAACCCTGATGGGCTGTGGATACCACAATCCCTCTAACCATCCAACCATAGGTTGGTTCGCTATTCCTTTTTCTGCTCTGAGTTCAGCATCTCCAACGGTAAATATGTACATACATAATCAGACTCTGCCTTTTCATTTATTTATGCGAGGAATCACACTCTGCGTCACGACAGCAGTGCAGTGCAGGTGCAGCAGTGGCTTAAAACAAAAGCCGAGATCAGATGGGAAAGTTGGCGATTCTGTTATGCACAGCACAGGGGGGTGGTTAGGTAGGCGCTTTACCAAGCCTAACTAATCAATTGCTTGCTAGATCACCAGCCACTCGCCAACCGGGCAACCACCTTCCATCCACGAGCAGGAGAGATGGATGGATGGATCCCCCGTCGGTCCGCCCGCGTCCACTCCGGATATATTCGCACCGTCGTGGCCGCTCGTGGCACACCCAGCACCCCCGGCCGGGCCGGGCATCCAACGACGCAAGCAATCCCAACGCTCGCTACGCGAGCCGCGCAACCACCCCGTGCCACCACCGGCATCCACTGTCCACTGCCCCAACGGCCAGCGATAATCAAACCACGGCACGGCACGGCAGGGAAGTGGTTCGGCCGGCCAGTGGCCACTCCCGATCTCACTAGCTACCCAATCACTAGTTAGGCCTTGGGTACCTGCGTGCGTACAACGCGGGAGCGGACCCGATCGCGACGACACTACCGGCACTAGGCGAGGCCGATTGCTCGAGGAACACGTGGGGAAAAGGCGAGCGCACGCAACGCATATCCAACGGGGACGGAGACGTGCCGCTTGCCGTTGCCGTTGCCGTTGCCGCCCTGGGAAAGACGCCGGCCGAGTCGCCGAACCCGAGCCGGCTGCGGCTGCGGAAATGTCAAGTGCGGACGGAACGGACCAGCTCCATCGGCCCAGCCGGGGCCAGGCAAGGCGAGAGAGAGAGGCTTCCTGCCGACCCCATACGGCGTAATCCTATACGTGGTCGAGTTTCGTCTGGGCAAGCGACCGACTGGCCGACGACGGGCCGTGTTGATTGGTTTCGCTTGCAACGCGGGGCGTGACGTTCCCGGTGACGGACGACGCGCGTGGGAGGCGCCGAGGGTATGAATGTGTGATCGGGTGCAGGTGTCATGCCGATACGTCAACGCTTAGCGGTGTGCTTCTTTATTAGCTCGAGATAACCATGCCTGCACGCTGGGTTAGTAGCCAGCCAAGTGGCCATGGGTGTGTGTTGGCATGGCATGTGCCTTTCGTGAGAAAAAGGAGCGCAAGGGAGCTGCTAGCACGGCAAGCTTTTCCTCCCGTCGGTGCCTTGCGGAAAAATGAAGCAAAAATGGATAGGAATCCTCGTGTGAGAACTGTACTAGCATGTACATGTTGATTGCCAAACTTAGCACCTACTCCCTCCGTCCTTTGAAGAGTGTACTTCCAACTTTATTAGAAAGTCAAACCTTTTTATGTTTGACCGTATTTATACAATAATGCACCAACATTTATACCATCAAATTAGTAGCATTAGATTAATGATAAAATATATTTTCATCATATACCTATTTGATTTCATAAACATTGATATATTTTTGCACAAACTCGGTCAAACATTGAGATAGTTTGACCCTCCAACAAAGTTGGAAGTACACTCTTTAAAGGACGGAGAGAGTACCAGGTAAACTGACCAGGCAAAAATGATCCTACTTTGCCGAGCCAACTCGAGCCGATGGACGGAAGCTCAGAGGCAGGCGACGGGCTATTTTAATTGACCCCGAGACGACCGGAGCGTTGGAATCTTCCACCCACGTCCGGTTGCGTGGTCTGAGGCGCTGAGCTGACTTGTTACCGGGTCGGTTCGACGTGGATCGATTTCGCTGAACCGTCCTCCAGAAGAAGCACGAGGCGAAGACCGTGCCGGCTTTCTACACGCATGTGCCAAACGCTTCGTTTGCAGCACCGGAACCACTACCGTAGCCGCCCCTTCATTTGACCCACTGTCATTTCGCGTTCGAGTGGCCCAAACAATCAACCCGTGAGGTCAGCACGCACCCATGCACCACCCTAGATGTTTCGCGAAGACAAACACAACTCGGATGTTGCACCCTACCCTAACAATTCAGCTTTTTTTACCCAAAAGATCGACATGTCACCTAGTACGCACTACGTATATACAGCTCGAAATATTTTTAGAAGGAGCCGTCCAATGAGAGTGAGGGTCAAATACGCACGACAGCCGCAGCCCGACCAGTAAACTAATCTGGAAACGGCGTTAGCGGGCCGGGCCGGGTCGGCTTTGCGTTCCGCAACCGACGGCGACCGCTTCCCGCAGTCCACAGTGACACCGCGGCCTCCTCGGTCCGACCAGTCCTCACTCTTCTTCGGAATCACACTCCCACCACACACACCCGCTCACTAGCTCCACTTGCCCTGCCTTGCTTGCCCGCCCGGCCGTGTCTTCCCCTCCACGTTGACCACGACTTTTTCGTTGCATGCGACCCACCTCTCGTCCACCACCCACCACAGCGGAGCCCAAGTGACCCACAACCCAACCTTCGCCGCCACTCCACCGGTTCCTAACTAACCACCACGACCTCCGGCCCCGCCCGTCAGCCGAACAGCACTGCGCCTCGTGCGCCCGGGCCGCACGATCGACCACGTTTCCATGCTCCACCTGCGACGCAACTTCCCACGCCGCCGGCCACCTCCTCGCCCCCACCGCTTTATAACCCTCTCACTCCACCACTCCCTCACACCACACCACACCACACCCAGCTAGAGCGAGGCGGACACCCAAGCAACCACACTCTCCCACCCTCAGCCACCGCACAAGGAAGAAGCAGAAGAGGTCTTCTCTCTCCCTGCTTTGCTTAGCTTCGTTTGTGACTGCCATGTCGTCGTCGGCCATGGAAGCGCTCCACGCCCTGATGCCGGAGCAGCACCAGCTGGACGTTGAGGCGGCTGCGGCTGTCAGCAGCGCCACCAGCGGCGAGGAGAGCGGCCACGTGCTGCAGGGGTGGGCCAAGAGGAAGCGATCGCGCCGCCAGCGCTCCGAGGAGGAGAACCTCGCGCTCTGCCTCCTCATGCTCTCGCGCGGCGGCAAGCAGCGTGTTCAGGCGCCGCAGCCGGAGTCGTTCGCTGCGCCGGTGCCTGCCGAGTTCAAGTGCTCCGTCTGCGGCAAGTCCTTCAGCTCCTACCAGGCGCTCGGAGGCCACAAGACGAGCCACCGGGTGAAGCAGCCGTCTCCTCCCTCTGATGCCGCTGCTGCCCCACTCGTGGCCCTCCCGGCCGTCGCCGCCATCCTGCCGTCCGCCGAGCCGGCCACGTCGTCCACCGCCGCGTCCTCCGACGGCGCGACCAACAGAGTCCACAGGTGCTCCATCTGCCAAAAGGAGTTCCCGACTGGGCAGGCGCTCGGCGGGCACAAGAGGAAGCACTACGACGGAGGCGTGGGCGCCGCCGCCTCGTCGACCGAGCTTCTGGCCGCCGCGGCCGCCGAGTCTGAGGTGGGGAGCACCGGCAACGGGAGCTCCGCCGCCCGGGCCTTCGACCTGAACATTCCGGCCGTGCCGGAGTTCGTGTGGAGGCCGTGCGCCAAGGGCAAGATGATGTGGGAGGACGATGAGGAGGTGCAGAGCCCCCTCGCCTTCAAGAAGCCTCGGCTTCTCACCGCTTGAGCAGCTCCTGCATGGATCCCATCGATCCATCCAAAGTTTTTGGTCCAGTCGATCCAGTGGTGAAATTCGTTCATTCGTTTGGTTAAATTTGTTCTGCTCCTGTACAGATTGAGTGAGTGAGTAATACTACATACATACTCCAGTAGCCATATACGTAGATATAGGCAGTAAGTTGTAACGACGGAAGAGTACTTGCTTCCTCTTTCAGATGTTGGGTAGGCGTCAGTATATTGTACTAGTCGACAGTTCATACATACTCGTACAGAGATTGGTCATGAACTAGCAGTACCGTGTAACATAAAGCATGGATGAAATTGGAGATTATTGGAATTGATGGAAATTCTGCACTTGTTTTATCAATTTAACTTCAGTGGCTCGATGAAACTTGAAATGATTGGTAGTTCTCCCACGTGTATTCCCTTTGCGTACACTGTAACTTGTATTGGCCACGAAGGAACCCCTGCTGTAACTTGCAAGAAAGCCTCGCAGAAACAACACTACTATAACTTGCAAGAAGGAAAATGAGACGGAAGCCTCTGTTTTTTTTTGTGTGTGACACTTAGCCTCTGCTTCAGTTCATAGCAGCAGAAGCGGAGAGAAGTGTACTCAACCTCGCACGGACCGATCACCGGCCGCCTAGCAAGACTGCTCACCACGTCTCCGGCGTGGCGTGATTAGCTCGACGAATAATCAAATTTGATTCCACCGTCTGTGTTTAGCCGGGGAATTGCTGCGTGACATGTGCTAGCTAGCTAGAAGGAGACTACGACTAGTAGTACAAGACACCGCTGGCAGCAAGTGGAAACAAACCTCGGGCCGGTTCGCAGCATCGTGAACGTCGACCGGCCGGCGGCACACCAGCCCAACTTGCCGCGCGGTGGATGGAAATGGCGACAGCGACGTCGGCCCGCCCGCCCGCCCGCCCGCCGGGGTTGATAGGCTTTTTTCCCGTGCCGACCTGCAGCTGGAGTGATCGCTTTCGACGCAACGGCCGGCCAGCGCCGCGGCCACCAAGTGTGCGCGGTACGTCGGCAGTCACCGGCCGGCCGCTCGCGTGGTTGGGTGGTCATTTCAGTTGGCGGCCGCCTCCGGTCCAGAGGGGGTGCTTCTTCCGGGCGCTCGGTTGATCGCGTATGGTGTTGAAGTGTCCACGGGATTGGACGGATGGTCGCCGGTGGAGTACGTGTTTTCACATGGCGGTGACGTTCTCTCCGGTCATGCAGTGGCCGCGTGATTTCGGCCGGCCCGCGTAAGACGGTGCGCAGCAGGCACGTCTTGGGAGTTCGGCGCGTACGTGTCTGATCTGGATTGGTTTGCGCGCGTCACCGGCTATGGGCTCCGGTTCGGCCTCTTTCGAGCTTCGGTTGACGCCACGTTCGCCTCATATAGGCAAGTCTTTCACGACGAACGGGACGTGCTTATAGATAGATATTATCAGCCGTGTGAGTTATGGGTGCTTACCGGCCGTCATCAGCTGGGTCAGTGCGTCATTATCGCTTCAGTCTTTTCCTTCTTTTTGAGATTGTTTTAGGGATTCCCATTTTAGGTATGTTTTGAGGGGAGATGTGAGCTCCATGAGGCTGAAAACAACGGTCAAGTTTAGCACTTTGATAAAATATCAAAGCAACTTCTGGGCAGTTTGCATACGAACACAATTCCCCGCTCATTTCTCAAGCACTATTCCCCGCTCACTGGCCTGCACGCTCGAGGGCAACGGGCAAGGCCTAGTTAGATGGTGTTGCATTTTAATTTTTTATTTGTCTTTTTAGTTTGTTTCGCTGATTATGTTTTTTCTCGTATTTATTTTATTTTAACTAACAGAAGGGCTCGTGGGTTGCAATGGGAGAAGAAACAATACCACCCCACCGCCTCTATTTTTTTTTGAGGACTAGAGTAAACAGGCTTACTCCAGTGGGGGGTTACATTCAGAGAGCATTAAGCTCCTTAAACCGACGGGGACATTTGCAATTAGGAAGAGGTCTCCTGCTCTCCTAGCTTCTGCTGCAAGTTCGTGTGCAAGGAATTTCGTTCCCTGGCAGTGTGCTTCACCTGATAGCTAGCAAAGTTCGCGAGCGCCGCTCTTATATCCATGATCAGTCCATAGCAAGTAGACCTGTTCTGGGCACCTTCCTTGAGGTCGTCAGCTAAAACCTTGCAATCTGTTTCCACTATGACATGGCCATTATACCTAGCTGCCAGTTCATGCAAGCCCATCAACATCGCCTTTCCCTCAGCCTCATGTGCGCATGTTGCAGTAGCTAGCTTCCTGGCCACCGATAGGTACACTTGCCCCTTGTGATCCCGCGCTACTGCACCTCCCCAACACTGTCCGCTGTCAGGTAAAAAAGACGCATCTGAATTTAGTTTAGCAGTACCCCTCGTGGGTGCAGTCCACTGTATTTTCAGACTCCCCTGATCCCATGAGCAGTGTTTGGTCCCTATCCCGCATCCTTTTCCATCGATTGCTGGTTCAGTAACTGCTGCATTCTTCCATTCATTCTTCAATCTCGACAAAAAGGTAGCAGATGCTATGATCGGCTCTTTGCCGTCGCCATGTACGCAGTTATCCCGCAGATGCCAACATCTCCAAAGCAGCAACAGGATATTTGCACGCACATCCTCTGAAACCGTGCTCAATAGGACCTGCAGCCAGTCCTCTCCAGTGTTCTGAAACTGCTTTTCAGCTGGCAAATCCCATTCGTCTCTCATTTTGTGCCTCAGTGCTCTGCTCTTAGTGCAGCTAACTACTGCATGAAATTCATTTTCATCTCCACACCCGCAAATGTCACAAGTAGCATCAAGGGTGATTGTGCGCCTAAACTTATTCTTCTTTGTAGCCAGGGTGTTTGTGGCAGCCCTCTATCCGAAAATTCTCACCTTCGGTGGCACGTCAGCCTTCCAAATGAGGTCCCATATGCTGCGATTATCTGGGTTGTTTGTCGAGCTGGAGGGTTCCAACACCGACTTATGCTTGATGGCCGCCGCCAGTTTATAAGCACTCCTGACCGAGAATATCCCATTCTTTTCGGGGTGCCACGCGATGCAGTCCTTCACGTTCGATCTCGGGATAGATATCCTACATATATCATCCGCGTCAAATGAATGGAAAATTTCCCTGATAAGTCCAACATTCCATTCCTTCCTATCTGGGTACATGAGTTGATTGACCCACCGGAGACGCGATCTCCTGATGAACGAGGCTGTCATTAGGCCCTCATTTCTCGGTATCCACTGGTCACGCTGAATTTGGATATCCTGTCCATCTCCCACCCTCCATATGATGCCCTTCTTCAGAAGCTCTAGTCCCGCCTCAATACCTTTCCACACGGGTGAAGAGTCTGAAGAAAAAACAGTGTCCAACAGGTTACCATTAGGATAGTATTTGGATTTAAGCACGCGAGCACATAGGCTGTCTGGGTTTTGAATAAGTCTCCATCCTTGCATTGCCAGTAGGGCGATATTAAACAGGTGCATGTCCCTAAACCCAATTCCTCCCGCCCTCTTAGGCTTTGTCATGCGCTCCCATGACATCCAGTGAACTTTGCGATGTCCATTTTCGTCCCCCCCCCCCCAGAAATCCCTGATCATCTTCTCATACTTCTTGCAGAAGCCCATGGAGAGGAGAAACACTCCCATAGTGTAGCAAGGGAGGGCTTGTACCACTGATTTCACATGTACCTCTTTTGCCGCATAAGCCATGAATTTTTCGGACCAATCATTACATCTCTTCCCGAGCCTATCCATAATGGGTTGGAAGCACTCGTCTTTCATCCTACCCTCTGGAGTTGGGAGCCCCAGGTACTTGCCCTCGAAAGCCGTGGACACCACCCCTAGAGTAGCCTTAATTTCCTCTCTGGTTTCCAATGGGCACACCTCACTAAATAGAAGCGAACACTTGCTTTCGCTCAACAGCTACCCCGTGGCCCTTTGAAAGGAGGTGAGGATCTTTTTTACTATGACAGCCTGGTCCGTTTTGGCTTTAAAAAAGAGAAGACTGTCATCTGCGAAAAGGAGGTTAGAAATTCCAGGGCTGTTCCTTGCAATTTTCAGCGGTGTCAAGTTCCCTTGTGCAATCTCTGTATTAATCAGCTTCACCAATCCATCCGCGACAAACAGGAATAAGTAGGGGCTAAGTGGGTCTCCCTGGCGTAGCCCTCTTGTGGGGACAAAGGGTTCAAGCAACTCCCCATTGCACCGCATCGAATATCTAACCGAACGCACACATTGCATTATCCACCCCGTCCACTTCTGACTGAAACCCGTCTTCTGCAACACCCGTTCAAGGAACTCCCAGTCCACCCTATCATAAGCTTTGGCGAGGTCAAGCTTGTATGCACAATGGGTATTCTGTGGTTTCTTGCTGTGTTGAATCTTATGGAAACACTCAAAGGCAATGGTCGCATTGTCCGTGATCAATCTTCCAGGGACGAAAGCGCTCTGTGTTTCTGAAATGAACTCAATCAAATAAGGCCGTAGACAGTTGACTAGGCACTTAGATATCACCTTGTAAAGTACATTGCACAGGCTTATCGGGCGGTAGTCTTTGAGGGTCTGTGGGTCTTTGCTTTTAGGAATCAGCACTATCACCGTGTCATTCAAACCTTCTGGCATGATTCCGGTGTCAAAGAAGCCAAGCACCCCACTCACTATATCCCCTCTCAAGACCTCCCAGTTCCTCTGGAAAAATCGAGCGAGGAAGCCGTCGGCTCCCGGAGCCTTGAGTGGACCAATTTGGAACAAGGCGTCACTCACCTCTACTGCAGAGAAAGGTCTGGTAAGATTTGTATTTATGTCATCCGAGATTTTTCTCTCAATGTGATCCAAAATTTCCTGTGGGAACACCACCTTTTCTTTTTCATATAAAGATCGAAAGAACTCCCTTGTCATCTCCTATATCTCTTTTTCCTCTTCTTTCCACACTCCCGAGCTATCCTTTAACTTAGTGATGTCATTCTTCTTCTTCCTCCATGTGGCTTTCCTCTGAAACTGCTTTGTGTTCC